CCGTCCCGCCGGCCGGGCCCTGCGCTCACCCCCTCCCCTCCCCTTCGCCGCAGGGTCATCGCCGTCAGCTACGAGGCGCGCGCGTTCGGCGTGGCGCGGGGCATGTGGGCGGCCGATGCCCGCAAGCTCTGCCCCGACCTGCTGGTGGCGCGAGTGCCGCAGGCGCGCGGCAAGGCCGATCTCACCAGGTGAGTGGGGCGGGGCGGGGTGTCCTAATCCCAATCCCAGTTCTCATTCGTAATCGCGGGTGGGGCTTTCCTCACTCCCTTACCCTGCAGGTACCGGGAGGCCAGCCTGGAGGTGATGGAGGTGATGTCACGCTTCGCCGTGATCGAGCGGGCCAGCATCGATGAGGCGTATATGGACCTCACGAATGCCGTGCAGGAGAGGCTCAGAAAGATGCGGGGGCAGCCTGTCCCTGCAGAGCTGCTGCCTACCACCTTCATCCAGGGCCTGCCTGATGACACTGACGCTGCAGCAGCACAGGGTGGGAGCACAGACTGCAAAGGTACTGCCAGCCTGCTGGCAGGTGCTGCCTCCTTGCCCTTGCTTTTCAGCTTGGTTTTTGTGGGAAGGCAAGGTAGAGGCCTCACAAAGTAGGAAACTCTTAAGGGAAGAGAAGCCAGGCCATCTCTAACCCAAGGGACAGAGAAGCAGGACCAGGTGGAAGGCAGTTCGATTGTGGCATTGCAAAGAGGATCTCAGTTGGGGCTGGCCCTTTCCCCATTGTCTTTCATCCCTACCTGTTCTGTGGATGATAGCACGTCAAACCTGGTGCCAGAGTTCACGTTCAGACTGCAGCTCCACTTCCAGGAGAAAATTTTCATCTGTGGGCTGGGACTTGCTTTAAAGATGACCCTAGGAACTTCATCTGTATTGAAGGAACTGCTTGGGAGGACTATTATGCATTTAGATATTTTGCATATCAGATCAGGGGTTATGTATTGGTGGCTATTTAAAGCCAATTTTAATTTTATTTTAAGGTATTCTGCAGTACAGGCTTGCAGCTAAAACTTAACAGCTTTATCGTATTAGCTTCCCCTTCTCTTCCCCGCTGCAATGGGAGAGCAGTTGTCAGTTAAATTATTTAGAGAGAGACGGGTATTGCCTTCCCTTTTCCAAAGCACACGCAGGATTTCTGCCCAAGTATGCGCTTCAGGTTTAGGAAGCTTGCCTTTCTTCTGGATATTAAGGTACAATGACAAGAGTATGTGGGCACTGTTCATTGGGGTTTGCTAAAACCAGCACCCTAATTTGTGGGGAACTAGAAATACCCGCTGTGATCTTCTCTGGTTGTGTGTTTTTGTTGTTGTTTTTTTTTCTTTCTGTGTGTGTGTGTGTGTGTGTGTATGTGTGTGTGTGTATTTTAGAGGAGCTGCGGCAGCGTGGCTTGCACCAGTGGCTCAGTTCCCTGCCTTTCGATGACTCCAGCTGCCCGGACCTGCAGCTGACCGTAGGAGCAGTAATCGTGGAGGAAATGAGGGCAGCTGTAGAAGAAGTCACTGGTTACAGGTGCTCGGCTGGGATTTCACACAATAAGGTGCGGGTCAGTTGATGACATAACTGGTCCAAACAATAGAGTCTGCACAGGTTGTAAAGTGCCTGACGGTCAGTGCTCCTAACTGATGGGTATGAGCAGGGTGAACATCCTGGCCAAACATGGACATACCTACTTGAGAATAACACTAAGCAGAGTGTAAGGAATATGTGTCCAAAAAATGTGAACTCCTAACAGGAGCTGGATTCATTTACTGGCTGGGGCTTCTTTTCCTGCTGTATTCCAAGCAGTTTGCTCGCTATAGAAAAGGCCTGTGAACCACAGGAGTGTCCTCTTGAAATGACTTGCCTTAAAGGGAGTCTTCTTTCCTGAAAGCAGTGGACAGATATTGTAAACTTGGGAAGTTTTTTTTTGTTTTGTTTTTTTAACTGGTATAAACCGTTCAGTTAGATGAGAACAACCCTGCCTCAGTGTCATGCCTTTGTGCTCTTCTCACTTGCACCCACAAACAGAGGGTGAGTGAGACTGCATTTCCTTAGACTGGCTAACCTTCAGCTAGGCAGATGCAGCTTGAGGTGATGCACAGTAGACTGCCAGCAGCAGCCACAGGAACACTTCACACGTGCAGCCAGGCACAAAGGGGAGCAAGCTGTTACTTTGCAGCAGTAGCAGGTTTCCTGTTGCATGAATTACGTTACACTTTGCTGGCTAATGTCTGGCTGTTGGTTTGGGTGTTGACAGATAGGGTTAATTGTGGTTAGTTAACTAAATAACTTTTTGCAAGTGAATAGGAACACTATCTGGAACATGAAGCGAGCAGATGTAAAGAATAGTTATGTGCATTATAATAGCCAGGGCCTGATGATCACACTATACTGCTAAAAGAACTACCACAATTGGTATATGAACCACTAGAGCAGTGGTGCTCAACCTTTTTAGACTTGAGGCACTCATCCAGAACTCCTGTGAATTGAGCAGCCCCCCATTTTAAAAGCTGACTTATCTATTATAGTGCTTACCTCCTTGCAGAGAGGCTGTGCAGTGGGGTTCAGGGAAGAGCTAGACAGGGACTGAACCTAAGCTTATCTGCTTATCTCCTTACACTTTGAAGCACCCCTCACAGTATCTTGTTGCACTCTTCAGTGCCCCAGCACCCTACTTGAAAATCACTGCATTAGAGGTTATTTATTTATTAAACCATCAATCCCACAGTGGGCAGATAGGGTAAGCACTTGGAGGAGAACAGCATGCATTTGTCAAAAATGAATCTTGTGAAACCAATTTAAATTTGCTGCTTTTGATAATTTGGCCTAGCAGGTAGGGGAAAATTGGTAGATACGAGATTCTGACTTTAAGGCTTTGATGCTGTCCCCTGTTGCAATCTCATAAGTAAACTACAGTGATATAGATTTAGATGACTTTATCTTGTGTAGGTGTGTGAATGATAACTACTCTGAGTGGCATTTCAGCCAGTGTTTTGGTGTCAAACTAGGGGGGGCATTTATAGTGGGTTTTCTAGATGAGTGTCCTGGATTTGGTACTATTCAATATTTTTATTTAAGATGGAGACAGTGGAGTAGAGAGTGCACTTACAAAATTTAAGGAAGTCATGTTGAGAGAGGTGCCTAGCATTTTGGAGGGCAGGAATGGAATTCAAAATGATTTTGATACATTGGACCAAAATTAACAAGTTCAGAATATCATAATGGAAGGGACTGTGCTAAGAAAGAAGTCAAATGCATGCATACAAAGTAAACAATAAGTGGTTAGGCCACAGTACTGCAGAAAAGGTGGGGCTCTAGCAGACTGGATTGAATACAATCTGGCAAGGCAATGCGATGCTGTTGCAAAAAAGACCAATCTTATTCTGAGTGATGTATCAAGATGAGTGTCACAGGCAGTAATTCTGCTGTATTTGATGCTGGAATACTTTGCCCTGTCTTGCGGATGACGCATTAAAAAAAATGTAAACAAGAATCCACGGGAGAACAGCAAGAATGACAAAACTTTACATTTACAAGACTTTGACTCCTGAGGAAGAGTAGAGCCAAACCCGGTTCATTCAAAAGAAAAGAACTGAGGGGGAACACCAGTTTTCCAGTATGTAGAAGAAGGCAGCAAGTGATTGTTCTTAATATCCAGGGGCAGGATGAGAAGTAGTGCTTTAATGTGCCACAAAGAAGATTTGAGATTTAAATATTAGGAAAATCTATAAGGAGTTAACCAGCAGTACAGGCTACGTAAATATGTTCTGGAATTGCCATCATTAGAGGTTTTTTAAGAGCAAGTTAGTCATGGATGGTCTTGATATACCTGACTTCCTTATCTTGATGATTTCTTGATCTACCCCTCTGCTGCTGACCTTAGTGACAAGAATAGCAGTTGCAGCTAAACAGAGTGGAGAAGATGGAAGAGGAGAGGCCCAGAGAGAGACATGCAGTCTGGTGTAGGTAATAGGACAGAAATCTGGCAGTTGCTCTTGACGTTCTAGCACAGCTTTCTGATCAAAACTCAACCACCCACACTGTGCTCTAGACCCCTGCTTCTCTGTGACAGTCTAAAGCAGGGCTCTGATCCTTCCCTTTCAAAGTCAAAATTTTGCAGGTTCCAGCTCAAGCTTAGCTAGCACAGTTCAGACCTGTGGGTAGATAGCACCTGAGAGTAGAGTGTGGTGGAAGATGAATCTTATCCTTCACCAAGAACATGAAGATAAGGAAGCCTTTAGCAGAGTTGGCTACACCATTGGGCAGAGTCCTTTATAAGCCTGTGTTTCTCTGAATGTGCAGGGTGCACAATAATGGGCTTTCCACCCTCTTCCATGTTCCAGGTACTGGCAAAACTGGCCTGTGGGCTGCACAAGCCAAACCGCCAGACACTAATACCCCTGGGACGTGTCCCGCAGCTCTTCAGCCAGATGCCCATCAATAGCATGTAAGTAATGAGGAGCTACCTGCTTTCACTGATCCCGCTCAGGCGGAGCTGGTTCATGGCAGTAGAGTACATCCATACCTCTTTGTGCTGCTATCTTGCTCTCTGGGTTCTGTACTTGCTTTTATAAAAAGCCTCTAGGTGACCTGGTTGCCAGGATATATGCTTCAGTTTGGTTTTCTCTGTTATGGCTGCCTACATGCAGAACCAGAAGAGCGCACAAGTGCAGACTGCCATGTTCATCTCTGGAACTGCTCAGATGCCTAGTGATAATAACATGGATGTCTGAAGTGGTTAATTTCTTGGTGCTTATTAAAGCATGTCAGGAAGAAGAGGAAGGAGTTTTACTTTTGAAGATCTTCAAGTTCTGATACCAGGAGCAAAGGAGATGCCAAGGAGCAGACCCATCAAGGAATCTGCTAGAGTTCATGAGGGCATTACCGTTGTCCCTTCCTAATGGTGTAGCTAACCTTGAGAAATTCAGTGGGCTGTACAAGCCCCTGCAAGTGGAAATTGAGCATGAAGAGCCCATAGGTATATTCATACCCGAGTAGTGGGGAGCTGAGTTCCAGCAGCCCAGCGAACATGCATGATGATCACAGCCCACTAGTAAGAGGCTCATGGGTGGTGCGTGGGGAAGTACTGTTCCTGCTTTCTGCAGCATGACTCTTGGCGAGGTCCACATGAAACTGCTATAATCTACCTGCTGCAGGGAGAGGGGAAGGAAGGGGCAGTTCATGCTCATCTAGGAAGAACTGCAGGAGGTGGTCCTTAAATCAGAGGTTAAGGGCTATGTCTCTTAAAAAAGAAAAAGGTGAGGGGAGGAGTTTGAGGTCTGAGTGCAAGGATCGGGGAGTGGGGTCTATGTGTTCTTAAATACCATGGGGGGTGCTGACTTTGTGCTTTCTCTCCCTGGGTGGTTTGCCATTTCCTGTGCAGCCTCCTTTCTGGCTGAAGCTGTTGCTGAGCCATGTTCTTGTGAATCATGTTGCTTTCCCCTTTGTCCTCTAGACTTTCCAGGCAGTACTGCTCCCTCAGCTGTCCTGCATCCATCTGACTAACCAGTGAACAGTTGAGGACTGAACACACCCTTCATAGCATTCAGGTGACAGCTCTCTTCTGCATTCTCTCTTGCAGCCGCAACCTAGGTGGGAAGCTGGGCGCCTCTGTCAGTGAGATCCTGGGGGTGGAGTACATGGGGCAGCTGACCCAGTTCAGCATGTTGCAGCTCCAGACTCACTTTGGAAACAAGACTGGGTAAGTGACTTGCTGCCTTCAAGGGCAGGTCTCAGGAGGATATGAAGACTCTGGTGCTGCCAAAGTGGCGGGGAGCTTTGGTTCTGCAGGCATTACTGCTCAGGAAGTCTTCTGTCTGAGCCTTCAGGGGTTGCAGTGATGCAGGGAGCATGCTCTGCCTCGCTTCAGTTCTTTGCAGGTGCCTGGCGCCCTCACTTAGCTCCCATCCACCTTGCCCTGCTCTCCTTCCCCCCCCCCCCCCCCCCCCCCCATCTGGCAAGGGGGTGCAAGCCATTCCAGGGGCTCTGCCTAAGCTGCATAGCAGGGGGCATCCATGGTGGAGTGGGAGGCAGGCAGTGTACAGGCCCAGCATACAGGAGCCTCTGCCAGTCTCGAGCCTGAAGCCCCCATCCTGGGTCAGAGCTGTGCCACGGAACTTCCAGTCTGGTGAACCCTGCTGCATCAGGAGAGGAGAAATTCAGAGGACTTGAGCAATAATTGGTGTTGGGTGTTGCTTCCCAGCTGTTATGCAGGTTTCCTGCTCCTGTGTAGCTGTGACATAGGTGCCATAGTGATTTATAGCTGAAAAATGGCCAAGCTGAGATGCAGCTAGCTGTATCATCTGTATGAGGGCTGATTCTTACATCACCTGTCCTGTGACTTGTATGCTGCCTGCCTAGATTAGCTTGGGACCAGGACATCTAAATAGCTGGTTGGATTTAGGGAAGGAAGGAGTCCCTATGCTGTGCCTACATGCATTGTCACAGCTATCCAGTGCCCATTTCACAGGTGCGTAGAGCCCTCCCTGGGCAGATGGTCAGTGCCCTGAAAGATGGAATGTTATCAGTGCAAACCTCCTGTGTGACTTTTAGGTCCTGGCTTTATGATATGTGCAGAGGGATTGAACATGAGCCTGTGAGACCCAGGTATTTGCCCCAGTCCATCGGCTGCAGCAAGAACTTCCCCGGGAAAACAGCTTTGGCTACTCAACAGCAGGTAGGAGAGCAGAAGGCCTCCTGAGCAGAAGTAGAGGCAGAGGGGGCTTTTGTACCCCTGTGCCAGCTGTGGCTTCCTCCCTCCCTCTCGGCATGTGTTGTGTGTGCCAAAGATCAGCCTTCACAGTGTCCGGAAATCAGGCTCTGGGGAGCCTGTGCAAGAACAGCTAGGAAACATCTATGCCCTTCAGGCCAGAGGAGAAAGGGTGTCTATTGGCATTTAGACTTCAGAATGCTGAATTGTACAAAGGTGGCAAAGGACATAGGTGGTGATAGACATTCCTGGCCCTGATCCTCTTTACTCTGCTTTTTGAGGGAAACAGGCCCAGGTGGCCAAGGCCTGTTGTGCATAACTTTACATTCTCTTTGGCATGTGTAGGATTTGTCAGTAGGATCCAAGACCTTGTAGCTAAGTGTGAGGTAGCTCATATCCTGTAGAGCCACACATGGCTGGTCTCCCAGGGTGAGGGACCAAGTCCATAAAGTAAAGTCATTAGGCTATGAGTCCTGTCTGAGGAACTTGGGAGCCTTCGGATTATTATCCCAAGGGGTGGTGCTGATGCCGTCTCCCTGGGGTTGCTTCCTGTTTATCCCATGCTTTGGGCACTTTTGGAGCATGCATGCAGTATGTGGTTTAACATGGACATGTTCCCATGCAAATGCCAGGAAAAGGAAGAATTTCCTGAGCTGAGCAAGGCTAGTCACTAGAAAGGCTCTTTGACAATAACCTGTCTCTGTTTTTGCCACTGGATGCTCTCATGCTGGGTTTCTTGGACTGTGGTGTGTGTGTCCTGGGTGGTGTATGAGCTTGAGGTTCTAAATCTGCACCTTGCATCCACTCTTTAAGAACTTAGTACTTGTCCCAGTAAAGTTTAGGGGGGGAGGAATACTGCCTCTGCTGGAGTTTAACCAAGGCAGGCTGAATGGGAACCTGATGGTGCTGCTGAAAGGCTCTGGGTGAAGTGTCCCAGCTGCTACCATTATGAGGCCTTTGTCACTTCCCAAGGGGACTTCAGGCTCCTGCTGCAATGGAGCATTAAGATGCCTGGACAGAGGGAAAGTCCTCATGCAAGTGCAGTAGAGTGGGTGATGTTTGTCAAGCAGTAGACTCAACTTCTTGTGAATCACCTAATGCTGGGCTGGGGAGCATCATGTCTCTGGGCTAGGTTGGGGAGCCCTATCCCTAAGCACCCAGATGGTGGAGCTGCACAAAGGTGAGCTCTTCACCTTCCAAGGTGTGGGTTCATATGCAGACTGGTGACATCACCATAACAGAAATCCCCCTTCCTCCTTGTAAAGAGTAGAAACAGTGCTTTTAGCATCTCTGGGATGCTTCACTGTCATTGCCTTTCCCTCAGGCTGAGGGATTTCCCTGTTCCTTTCAGATTCCCAGTGCTAGCCTGTGCTGCATAGTCTGGGATGCTCTAACTCGGTGATTCTCAACCAGGGTGCCACAGCATGCTGGATTGTCTTGATCCTTTTGGTGGTGCCACAATATTAGCACTGTTAGCTGTGCAAATGTGATTCACAAGATAAGCCTAGAAATTTCAAATAGAAACCCATATTTGTGGCTTTTCTGAGTTCCTTACAGCAGAAAAAACAGCTCTATTTTTTCTGTAGTCAAAAAAAAAAAAAAAAAAAAAAGTGAAAACTAAGAGCAGACATTTTCCACAAGTCTCAGAATGTTGAGAACCACTGCTTCTGGGTTGCAGATGCATTTTTGACAGAATCCCAACCCTTCTTCCTTAGCTTTGAACTTCCAGAAGTTTCTTGCTCTTTAGCTTGTCAAAGAATGAATTGTTGAGCCCAGTCTGGGATGAGCTCTTCTCCCCTTGGTTCTGGCTGTGGCAGCAACTGAGTAGAAGGAGGGGAGGGGTCAGGTCCTATGATCAGTTGCGTGCGTCTGTCCATCCCTAGGACTGCATCAACTGCCACTGTGTGCTACTTGCAGGTGCAGCACTGGATCCTGCAGTTGGCCTCGGAACTGGAGTCAAGACTCGGCAAGGACAGGAGCCAAGTAAGGAGAGGCCTGATTCCAAATGTTGTGTGGCTGGGCCAGAGGCATGTGCTATCTTTGCAGCAGGGTGTGACATCAGGCTCTGGTAGCAAGTGGCCTTGGAAACAACCCTGCATTCACATGCATTGTGTTGCTGACTGAAGAGATGAGGAAGGCCCTAGGCACAGCACTGGTGCCCTCACCTTCTAGAGCAGTGGTTGGCAATCCCTGGCGCACATACTAGAGCATGGCATGTGAGGCCATTTTACTCTGCACCACAGCCAGCCCAGGCTCTGGGTAACTGCCACCAGCCATGAAGCCCGGGCTGCTTACAGCAGGTGGCTAGGAGGCTGCAAACCCTGCTGCAAGCAGTGGCTTCCAAAGCCTACAGAGCCTGGACTGACTGTGGCAGGCAGCCACAAGGCTGCAGACAGCTGCACCAGGGTCCAGAGCTCCAACTGGGCTCTGTGACCGGCTGCTGTACGCACGCCTCTGGGTGAACAGCAGGGGAGAGGGACCAGGGTCTCCAGGGCTCTGGACCCCAGTGCAGCTGTTTGCAGCCTGCGGGCCCCTGGGCTCCGTGGCAGTGGCAGCTGCATGTGTGCCTTGGGGTGCACAGCAGGGAAGGGGCTGGGGAAGCCCAACTCTGGCCCCTCCCCTGCTGTGCACCTCGTGGTACACATGCATCCACCACCAGCAATGAGGATTGCCCCCACACAGCTCCCCACAGTCTGCCCCTGGCATCTCAAGTTGAGGCATGGGTCGAGGTTGAAGTGTTTTTGGAACTCTGGTAAAAAATGTTGCCAACCCCTGTTCTAGAGGGCCTGGCCCCAAAATGCTGCTGAGCTGGAAGGTTGCTGTCCTCCCCTCCATTGTTGAGTGCAAGGGTCATGGTCACCTGGGAGTGTGTGTGCAGATACTGCCCAGGCTTCTTCCTGCTGTGCAGCTTGATCCTGGGACCTGCCAAGACAACTCTGCCAAGGCCTCTTATAGCATAAGAAACTCCCCAGTGGGTCAGACCACAGGCCAATTAGCCTAGTATCCTGCATCTCCCAGTGGCAGCTTTGTAAATAAACAGGCTCCTTATACCCTTGGCAAGTGAGTAAGCTGGCTCAGCCCTGTGTGCTAGGTTGTGGGCCTGAGCTGTGGACCTGCTAGCTCTCCAGTGTTGGTGAGGATAGAGGGAAAGTAGGGGTGAAACCCTTCCTCTGGCATGATGTAGCTGTAGCAGCTCCTGCCACGCTAGGTGTTCGCACACGGCCGCAGTGACAGATGGCAGCTTGTCTTCCTGGGATAGAGACCTCTTGGCCCATAGTATGAGCAAGCTTCTGGCATTGCCAGCTTTGCCCTCTAGGTGTCATCCATGTTACAGCTGCGTCCTCTCCCACAGAATGGCCGCGTAGCCAAGCAGCTGATGGTGAGCATCCGCATGCAAGGTGACTTGAAACCCCACGGCCTGACGCGGTGCTGTGCCTTGGCCCGCTATGATGCCCACAAGATCAGCACTGATGCCTTTGCGCTCATCCGGAACTGCAACATGGCTGGAGCCCAGCAGGCTGCATGGTGAGCGGCTTCAACTCCCAGCTACTTTGCTGCTGCTACGGCCGGGCAGAGGTTCTCTGCCTTGGGAGGGGTAACAGACAGAACAGCAGGGTCTTGCTGGATACAGGCAGGAACAGGAACTGTTAGAGCAAGTAGGGAACAGAGCTGGGACATGCCCTGTGTGTTCTGCGCCTGTCTGCAGGAGAGCACTGCCCCTATGGAAGACACATCTTGAGCATTATTCTCACTTGAGCCTCTTGACCCTGCAGTGCAGAGCTCACTACAGAGCTGTAGCCAGGGGCCTCACTGCCATTGAATCTGTGTGCTCCAGGGTGTGCTGAGTGCCCAGCTCACTAGTGTGGTTGTAGCATCATTTGTGCTACACAAGGGAGAGCTTGTGCTATAAACCTAGGGGACAGAGGGTTAAAGGGTCACAGATTTCATAGACATCAGGGCTGGAAGGGACCTCGGAAGATCGTCGAGTCCAGCCCCCCGCCCAAAGGGCAGGAAGTCAGCTGGAGTCATAGGATCCCAGCAAGATAAGCATCCAGTTTCATCTTGAAGGTGTTCAATGAAGGCGCTTGAACCACCTCCGGTGGCAGGCTGTTCCAGACCTTGGGGGCTCGGACAGTAAAGAAATTCTTCCTTATGTCCAGCCTGAAACGATCTTGAAGTAGTTTGTGACATTCGACCTCATCATCCCTTGGGGCGCTCTGGTGAACAAACGTTCCCCCAGATGCTGGTCGTCACCCCTGATAAACTTGTAGGTGGCCATCAGATCACCCCTGAGCCTGCGCTTTTTCAGGCTAA